CCAATTAGCTAGGATTACAGGTGTATGCACCTGTGCCCATTGTTCAGGTTGGCTCAGGAAACGAGCCTCCATGTGGCTTTCAGCCTTCCAAATCATGGTGCCACCTAAGAATCCCTGCAGCTGGGCCCAGGTTAAGCCAACATTTATTTCTATCCACTAGCTCAAAAGCCTTCTGAATGAGAGACCAGAGATGCCCTCAGTTGACAAGCAGAAGAAATACCGTAAGAGCGTATGAGAGATAGTCTACATTAAATGCCATTACCAAAATTCATAAGATAATTTTATTTGATATAATTATTTCATATAGAAGAATGAATATCGTCTTGGAATCTGGTGCGAACTATCCAAACTATGGTACCTGTAGAGACTTAAACATCATTCTGAACTCAGCCAATCATATGATTCAGATTTCACCACCTATTAGAATAATTCCTTGGTCATTCTTGTAAGAATCAAAGTTAGGTACTGCAACTGAGAATGGATAGTACTTTCCTGCTATCCACCCACTTTTATCCTGTAGTGATGCTATGGGGTGTGAAAACCATGACAAGAAGTTACATATCGTGCTCCTTTCAGTGACGTTTCATGGGATCATGTGTACTTGTGTAATTTAACAGTGTGTTCAGGTTTCAAAGCAAGGACACTTGGATTAGTCTCTACGAAAACCACTTTTCAGCTCGAGATTTCCTACGTAGGTTCAAGACTGTACTTCCCTTCAATGCTCAAGGCTTTCTTTTCTGCATATATATTTGTCTTCACGTTCTTATTTCATAATCTTAAAAATTAAGGCTCTTCCAGTGATTTCGATTTTAATACCCCATATAGTCATCTGGATTGCTTTAAAGTAGTTTTAGCAGCCAAGAGCATTGTGAGTCTTACAATGCCTCATGCTCTCCCCATATTATGTACGTTTTTTTCTTTCTTCTCTACTTCTGAAACTGGGCTTTTTCTGCCCATTAAACAGTGAGCAAAAAGGTTGAGAGAGTACACATGTGTTTAAGTATAGTTTTACCTTTACGTCAGCTTTGGTTCACGCTGTTCTCTCTTCTCTGATGATTTTTCACAAATTTGTTCACGGGTGTGTTTGTGCCCTTGAGTTCACGTCAACTTTCTTTTGCTATTCTTTTGTATATGTGAGTAGTTCTTTGGCAACGATGACCTTGTTTTTTCTGCCTATATTGTTCATAGTTACTTCTGTCTTCACAACCAGTCTGAACAGGTTTGATAATGTGCTGTAATTGTTCCTTAATTGGTTCCCAGTTGTGTGTCACAGAAATGTCAGCTATGATAGAACGGTCCCTTTAGGGGTCTGGTTAGGCCTCTTCCTCTCTTTTGATGTTGGGTAGGGCGTGCTGTCCAAATAAAGCATGTCACCTGTCTGAGGCCACTGTGGCCTGAGGGAGTTTTCCCACTATGCCATCTTAGGCCCTTCAGGAATAACTTTATCTAGATGGAAAAACACCTCGAAAGCTATAATGATAGACCAGTCAGTGTCACAGTGGTAACACAATGCTCTGGGGTGCTGAGGCCACACGGGAAGGTCCGGAGTTTGTGTCCTGGGACCTCCCTGTATGTACTGGGTGCACACGTTAATGATCCAGGCCGGCTGAGGCTGGGGGTGGATCAGGGCGTGAAGACCTCTTTAAGGGTGCCTCTCTCTGATAGAACAAGTAAATAAACTCAAACAAAGATTAGTGATAGTGACATTAAATAACGTAAAGAGCAGAAATTAGTCTTCTGTCTCCTCCTCCTAGGTTAATCCCCCCAACTGGGTAAAGTCTTCCCATTGGCATTGTTAGGCTAAAAAGTGCGTTTTACTTAGACTCATGTTCTGAACAATAGGGCTGCTCTGGGCCCACAGGCACCATTGACCAATGGTTCTTAAGCTGTTTGGGGTTATGAATCCTATTTAGAATCTGATCAAAGAAATGGATTTACCAAGAGAAAATAAACGTAAGCACATGGAACATTTCTGGAATAACTGTGGTGTGCCCTGCATGTCCTCTGAGGGCATTGTGGGACTCCCGTCAGAAAACCGACCTTACTTATTTACCATGGGGGGCTCAACGTGAGGTGCTACCTGCATCATCTCAATTATTCTGCATAGTTATTTGCTAAGGTAGGTTCCGTGTTACACTAATTCTGGAATATGAGGAAATGGAGCGGGAGAGGGACAGCGAGCTTACATAGGAAGTAAGCAGAGGAGCTGGGATTAGAATCTAGGCAGTTGTGTCCTGGGCTGGGATCCACGTACTCCAGTGTGAGGACCTTGCTCTGGAGGATTCAATTTTGTTCTTAGATGAATTCTAATCTGAAGCAGCATTGGGAATAATGGTCAGTTATGGGAGCTCTGAGTTACCAAGGCCAAGCGCGTGAGTAGGCAAAGTCTATACAGCGGCTTTGGCATTACCTGAGAGCTTGCTAGAAACAGCGTCTCAGACCCACAGAGTTTTAACAAGGTCCCTCAGCATGTAAGCACATTAAATTTGGGCAGCACTGGTTTAGCTCTCTTAGCGCCAGTTATTTTTATATCCTCTGAAACCATTCGTAGCTTGAAACTAAATTCCGAGAAGGACCAGCAGGTGGCATGTGGTTAGGGTGCTAGAATACCACATGGCTAACCGTGGTTCAAGTTCCAGACCTGGTGGCTCAAAAATCACACTGAGCATGGGTGTGTACATGTCCAAAATCCCAGGACAAGAATGAAGAAGGGATTGCTGTGCAGCCATTCCCCCAGAGGGTGGTTTCTCACATTCCCTCTCTGTCTCTCTTCAGCAAATGCACACACCCTATGGTGGAAACCTTACATTTTGGGTATCTTTTGATAATATTGCAGTTAATACCTACTGATAGAACTGAGAATGGTGATGCAGTTGGGGGAGGGATGTACAGAGATTTGGGCCAGCACTGAGCATGTGTCTGAGGACAGCGTATGGTCTCCCTGCAAGTCTCCCGTCTCTGAAATAACTCCAAGGTCTATTGAGAATGTTCCTTAAAAATGATAGTACCTTAGAATTTAGAAATAAATGTATAAACGTGTCATGAAGGACCAGCAGGTGGCATGTGGTTAGGGTGCTAGAATACCACATGGCTAACCGTGGTTCAAGTTCCAGACCTGGTGGCTCAAAAATCACACTGAGCATGGGTGTGTACATGTCCAAAATCCCAGGACAAGAATGAAGAAGGGATTGCTGTGCAGCCATTCCCCCAGAGGGTGGTTTCTCACATTCCCTCTCTGTCTCTCTTCAGCAAATGCACACACCCTATGGTGGAAACCTTACATTTTGGGTATCTTTTGATAATATTGCAGTTAATACCTACTGATAGAACTGAGAATGGTGATGCAGTTGGGGGAGGGATGTACAGAGATTTGGGCCAGCACTGAGCATGTGTCTGAGGACAGCGTATGGTCTCCCTGCAAGTCTCCCGTCTCTGAAATAACTCCAAGGTCTATTGAGAATGTTCCTTAAAAATGATAGTACCTTAGAATTTAGAAATAAATGTATAAACGTGTCATTCTTGCTTGATAGTTGTGCACTTTGTAGCAGAGCAGGGTAAGTCTGGCAGCCCCTGGCTATGGATAGGCATCCAGCCCTCAGAAAGGAAAGCTTCTCTCTCTCCTGAACATCCCTGCCAGCCATTGGCCATGGTTGGTCTTGAGAGTCAAGGGGATGACCCACACCTGGTGATGGCCCACCGTGCCCTTTCCGATAGCCTTGCTTTATGACCTGGTGTCTGAACTCAGGTGTGGGCTCCTGTCTTGGGTCTCTGTCTGGCTTTGGTGTTGGTGGTGACCTTGGTCTGACTTTGCTCTTGAATTGTTACCATCTGGAGCTGGGTTCCATAAGTAACTGCTTTCTTGTGTTCGAATTGCAGTCAATTGAACTAACCACGACTAATTGATGGTGTGCCCTGTGCCGGAGTGTTGCCAGGCAGCAGTTCTTTGCACTCAGGTCTCTTCTCATCTAGGACTTTCTTTTGTCCCCTAGAGCAGTCATTGTGATGAATTCACCAGATCACGGGAGAGGCTCTTATAAATCCTTCTAAGGATTCTGGAATGTAAGGACATTCTGTGGCAGAGTGGAGTAACGTGTAAATTACTAGATCTCACAGACAAAGCATGTCTGATGATTTTTTACAAATTTGTTCACGGGCGTGTTCGTGCCCTTGAGTTCGCGTCAACTTTCTTTTGCTATTCTTTTGTCTATGTGAGTAGTTCTTCAGCAACGATGACCTTGTTTTTCCTGTCTATATTGTTCATAGTTGCTTCTGTCTTCACAACATGCTTTATCTGTGAGATCTAGTCATTTAGTGGATCTGGGGTGGGTGTTGAACGCTGGTGGTGATAAGTGAAAAGATCACATCTGAACAGGAAGAGAGCTGTGTATGCTTTTCTATCTCTGAGCAAGAAGCGTGAAATCTGTTTAGAGATGTAACCATCTGCCCAAAGTGAAGAATCTCTTAAAACAAGTAAAAAGGGCAGGGCTAATAATTTTGATTCCTATACCAAGGATGCTCTAAAAAGTAGTTTTAAAAATAACTCTTTTTTTAAAAAAATTTTATTTCGTTATATTTAAACACATGGTACTTCTCTTTTAGGTGACAAAGCAGAGGACAGGATGTTTCAGAATGTTTTACCTGGGAATCTACCTTGGAGGTGACTAAGCTAAAACCAGACAAAGCCATGAGCCTGAAGTGATAGACAACCGACACGATTACCACCGAGACATATTGGCATGGAGCAGGAGAACTGTCCTTCCTAAGACGCGAAGGAATGCACATCCTTGACGTGAGGCGAGTCCACGTGCAACCTCTGCTTCCTGTCAGCCCCGAGAGTCTGCTTTTCCTGTCGTTATTCCCTTGAAACAAGGAAGGATTGAAAGAGCAAACAATGTGTGAACGCTTCCGCTGGGGGGATGTTTAGGGTAAGATGCGTATACATTGTGTATACATGTGTGGATTAATTTCTTTTATTAATTAATCATTATCTGCAGATCAGAGCCACAGCTGCCTGCCACTCCCGGAATAGAACTCCTGCACACCCAGGAAGTCTGGCAGTGTGCCATCCTCCTTGAGAAGCTTGTTTACTGGAAGATATCAAATTGCAGGTTTGTTTGCAATGCCTGGAAATGGCTCGTCACTGGGAAATGCCCAATGGGGTTAAACTAACTGACATCAATTCCTCCTCTGCTTAGTTCTAAGGAAGAGCCAAGGCACCCCTGACCTCACTTTCCCAAACCTCAGGATGATGGGACGTTGTCTGAGCACACCCCTGTGGGGACACCTGTGTGCCACCTGCTGCTGTTTCACTAGGACCCCCAGAATCAGTCAGATTTCAAGAACCCACATTCGTCCACATTGGGAAAGAAGTCCAGATGTAGTTAGACATTTCTTGGCAGCTGTGAAAAATATAGTAATCAGAGAAGTTGTCAGACACCTTAATTAAAGCTCTTTTAAACTCGTTTGCATATGCAGATTAGGCTCAGTGGTTATTTGAGAGGAAAGGTTAAGGTGAAGGAGTTAGCATTTAGACTATTAATTAAGAAGAGAGAGGATCTTGCCTATGAACTAAAGAGAGTGTATTTTTTGAACTAAAGAGAGTGTATTTTTTTTTCTTTGTTTTGGAGACGTTTTTTGCTATAGGGTGCGTGCGCTCACCAGAAAGACAGAGAGAGACAGAAAGCGAGAAATCACCCCCCAGGGGGGATGGCCATGCCACAATCCCTTCTCCTCCATTCTCCTCTTGGGATCTTGGGCATGCATGCACACGTGCCTGGTGTGAGTTTAAGCCGCCGGGTCTGGGACTGGAACTGCGATCAACTACATGGGAGTTCAGTGACATAGTCATTACGCTAACTGCTGGTCCCAAGAGAGTGTTTAAATACTCTTTGCTTGCACCTCAGACTGCAGTGAGCATCCAGCCTCAGAAAGACCTAGCAGGGAAGACCCTCCTTTTTTTAAAAAAAACAAATTATTTATTTAATTTTATTTATTATTATTATTATTATTTTAAAATTTGCTATAGGGTACATACGCTCTATAGAGAGACAGAGAGAGAGAGAGAAAGAGAGAGTGAAGAGAAAGAAAGTGAGAAAGCAAGCCACCAGGTCCAGGAACCGAACTGTGGTCCTCATGTCAAAGTCCAGGGCCTTAACCACCACACCACCTGTTGGCCCCAAGAATGGTCTTTCTTGTTGACCCGTTTAGATCACCAAGAACCCTCTTTTCACACATCAAAGGTCTGACAAATACTTTATTGTGTCTGTGCAGGTATTTTGGGGTGCTTTGTTGCGAATACCACTAAACATTTATTCTAGTAAAATTCTGAAGAGAATGCCCTGAAAATAAACTGTCTCTGATGTTTCTCACACTTGTCTGCCCGTGGCCTTGAAATCGAGGAAAATGAGACTGGAAGGGAAGAAATCGGAGAAGTTGGAGAAGAGGATTAGGGATCAGAAACAAGGAAAAGAGAAAACATAGAAAAGTCAGAGCAGGGTAATAACATTATATGGGAAGAGAACTCAAGAAAAGAAGAAATTAGAGAGATGCAGATGACCAGAAAAAGAATATTTATTGCAAATTTTATTTATAAGAATTCAATGTTCCCCCCTTCATGTTTGTTAGTACTGCACTGTGCTAAATAATCTATTTTTAAAGATTTTCTTATCACAACGAAATAAAATAGCAGTGAAAGTGATACTGTTTAAATGTAGAGCTCCTGGACCAGCAGTTAGTGTAATGGCTATGTCGCTGAACTCCCATGTAGCCGACCACGGTTCGAGTCCCAGACTTGGTGGCTTAAACTCACGCCAGGCGTGTGTGCATGCGTGCCCAAGATCCCAAGAGGAGAATGGAGGAGAAGGGATTGCAGTGTGGCCATCCCCCCGGGGAGTGATTTCTCACTTTCTATCTCTCTGTCTCTCTGGTGAGTGCACACACCCTGTAACAAAAACCTCTACCAAAAAAAAAAAAAAAAAAGTATGAGCTCCAGACTTTGATTATCTGGGTTGGAATTCGTGAAGTCCCACTTACTGGCTCAGTGATTTTGGGCATAGTAGACGCCATATCCCTATTTCTTCACCTATAAAATGGTGATGATAATAATAATATTTTGTATCTTAAGATCATTGTAAGGATTGATCAGTTAATATACGGAAAACATTTAAAACAGTTTACAAATGAAAATGCTCAATCAAGGTTAACCATTGTTATTATTATTTTTATTAGTATTCCAATTTTTAAAAATTTGCCAGAGGGCACAAATGCTCCCTGGAGAGTGAGAGGGAGGACGTGAGAAAGCACCCATGGGGGGAGTGGTCAAGCTGCCATCCCCTCTCCATTTCTCGCCCCCTCAGGACTCTGTACACACTCACATGTGCCCAGGCTTCTCAGGGTGCTAGTCTGCAACCCGAGCTGTGAGACTGGCCAGACTGGCCGTGGGTCACAGCCTCTTCAGTCACCATGTAAAGGCGAGGACGTGAGAAAGCACCCATGGGGGGAGTGGTCAAGCTGCCATCCCCTCTCCATTTCTCGCCCCCTCAGGACTCTGTACACACTCACATGTGCCCAGGCTTCTCAGGGTGCTAGTCTGCAACCCGAGCTGTGAGACTGGCCAGACTGGCCGTGGGTTGCAGCCTCTTCAGTCACCATGTAAAGGCTGGCCCAATATTCCAGTGGAGTAGCCGAGGCTCACGAAAATCAAGGGACGTCCTCGGGATGTTTCAGCTAGTGACATATCCCGGTGAATTTGTCTTAGGAATCTTGCTTTTAATTCACAAACCATAAGGAGACAGAAGACCTAGCCTGTACTTTCATCAATATCAACGCTCACTTTCCTGTTACTGAAACTCTAATGCCACTCAGTCCTCCCTGAAACAGGTCCTATGACAAGCTCTTGAGGAGTAGTTCTTGAGGAATACGATGTATATGTAAATTTATTAACCATGGTAACCAAATTTAATAAAGCAGAATAACAAATTGGAAGAGTAAAACAGGAAGGAGGGACATCCCGTGAAGGGTGCACGGCTGGAAGATGCCTGGGGTCGTTGGGTCTCGGTGCTGCCTGCTGTGAGCTGCGCGGAAGTGCGCGGTGGGAGCCCCCAGACCAGTTCCTGTCCCCTGCGGCCGAGGGTTGCCTTTGGCTGTAAGTGCTCTTGCTCGCCCAGGTTTACCCCTGTCCCAGAGCAGACCAAGCCTCAGTGGCGGTGGCGGAGAAGCCTGGGGTGCGGGGGGCAGAAAACAAATGAGAGGCAGCACGGCCAAGATGCCCGTTGGTCGCGTTGGGTCTGTCTGGGCAGAGCAGGTTGTCCACGAGTGACTTGGGGACGTGCTGGGACAAGGGGTGGTGGACGCGCTGGAAAGGCCCTTGACAGTTTCTCTTCATTGCGTGTGTTATAGTGCGTTCTGTGTCTGTGAATTTTCTGTCGTCAGCACTGGGTTATTGAGGAGATGAAATGCGTATTAAAGTGCCCTGAAAAAGAAATTATGCCTGTGTAATACCACATCCGTCATAGTGAGATCTCCAGGTTGTAGGTTAAACAATGGTTGAATAATTTTTAAAAACATATCAGTAACTGCTTTCAAGATCAATGTCTCTGGCGTAATGGCTATGTTGCTGGACTCCCCCATAGTCGACCGCGGTTCGCATCCCAGGCCCGGTGGCTTAAAACTCACGCCAGGCGCGTGTGCGTACGTGCCCAAGATCCCGAGAGGAGAACAGAAGAGAAGGGATTGCGGCGTGGCCATTCCCCCTGGGGGGTGGTTTCTGGCTTTCTGTCTCTCTGTGTCTCTCTGTCTGTCTGGTGAGAGCTCGCGCCCTATAACGAAAAACAAAAATCCTCTCCAAAAAAAAGATCAATGTCTCTATTATTTCCCTGTATAACCGTACCCGGATTTCAGCAGAAGATCACTGACTTGAGAACCTATCCAGACGTACATGACTGAATCCCAAATTGACTGCTGATCTGAGCACTGGATTGAAAAGCCCCGCAAGCCCACGCCTAGCGGTTTGTTGACTCTCTTTCTTGGGAAGTCTTTCTATTTCTTTCTACTCCTAATATTCTGAACTAAAAATGAAATAGAATAGAATGAAAGTTTACCCCATGTAGGTTAAAATTAGCGCTAGTATGATACTTCCTTTTCTTTAGTAGAAATCAACCCATGCTCTATTTTCAAAACCAAAATACAACTTTGAAATGTTTCATTTTTACCGTTGTTATCCTACTTTATATTTTAATTCTCTTTCTTTCTTTCTTTCTTTTCTTTTTCTTTTCTTTTCTTTTTGTTTTTTTTTTGTTTTAGAGAGAGATTCTTGCTGGAGGGCACATGTGCTCACTGGAGAGATGGAGAGACAGAGAGACAGGAAGCAGGAAATCACCTTCCGGGGGGATGGTTATGCCTGATCCCTTTTCCTCCAGGCTTCTCTCAGGATTTCTGGTGCACACGCATCCAGCGTAAGTTTCAACCTGTCAGGTTTGGGACTTGGACTACGGTCGGCCATGTGGGAGCCCGGCGATGTAACCACTATGCTGTCTGCTGGTCCCACTCCTCACTCTTTCACTAGACTGCTCTGGGATGTTGGTTACATTGCTTGACCTTTCTGGACTTCAAGTTCCTTATTGCAAAATTGGATTAACATTGATATTTAATCCAATGAACTGTTAACAGGATGACTTGAATGTGCTTGGAAGAGTTCCTGGAACTTAAGGACAGTAAGTGTTAGCTGCTATTGTTACTGCTATTATCATTGTTTGCTCGACAAAGATCTGAAACATTCTTTTTAGAGGAGTTAAATGTAATGATTATTTCTTTTAATTTAATTTAAAAATGAATTTCTCTCATCTAACATTTCACATAAAATATGAAGGCTCAGAGAATGTTCTTAATGTCATGACTTGGAGGTCAGTTTGAATTTTTTGACCCTCTGATGAACCATCTGCCATTTTGAAAACGCATGACCTTTCTGAAGTTGATTTCTAAACAGAAAAATGAGATCTCTTCCCATAACTAATTTGGAAACAATTTGAAAGTTGTCTTATACCTTGGAAAGATATAAAAATAATTTTGATGATAATTCTGTGTATTTATAGAGATTGTTTTCCCTTCAAAGACCTCAAAGGGCCCTGTGTCCTTATTCCATGTATTACACATTCCCCATGGAGGAGATTTGAGCACACACAGTATCTGTGTAACAGATTCTTATCCTATGGCCCCATATAAAGAAATGTAAGTGCACCCAGGGGAACCATTTTTTTAATGTTTAACTGATGACATCATCAGCCTCACTCTTCCTCTTCTGCCCCACTTTGGCACAAAGTGATATGAAAGCTTGGCTTCTTTCTCCTTAGTTGTTGGTGGGAAATTCAAGTCTTGTAAACCTGTGCTTGTGCCCAGGAGTGCTCACGCCACCCTTGCCCCTACCCACGATAAAAGTTTCACTCTAGTCGGGCTGGCAGCAGGTGACTGGTGGGGAAGGTGCTGGACTCCTGCATGGCCAGCTGCATTGGAGTCCCAGAACTGGTGGTTTCCTTTCTCACTTCCCCTCTCTCTTTGTCTCTCTGTGATCAAATTAAAATAATACTAATAATAAGTAAAATTTTAAAAAGTCTTAAAAAAATTAACACTAGCCTCATTCCCTTTTCCCTCAAGCCATTTTTAGACCAGCTTGGAAGACTTCCCCAGCTCTTCCTCATCAGGTAGGCAATAAGCTGTTGCATACCCTCTTGGTGTGTGTCATCAGTGTTGAGATTTCCGCCATGTTTTATGTGGGGGGTCATTCCTGTTTATTCAGAGTGTGTGCAATAAATGGATATTAGTTTGTACCAAAGAGAACCAAGATTCCTTAGAAAAATGACTGATTCCACATCTGGGGCAAGAAAAGTACAAGGTAAGTCTGGGATGTTTGACATACCCCAGAGCAAGGGAGTGCTGAAAGACTAATGGGGTCACGTCAGAAGAATAACAGGAGCTAGAATGAAGAGGCTTTCACCTGCCGACATGGGAAAATCTGAGCATTGGAAAGAATAATGATGGTAATAAACTATATATCACATTTAATATAAATCTATAATGATATGGAGAAAGAAGGGGGAGGAGAGAGAGAACTCTTCTTTATGGAATATTATTCATTAATAAATTTAGAAACATAGAATTCAAAAATATTAGCATTTTGTAACCAGCGTAATTCAAGAAAATAACATCAATGAGTACTAAAACTTTTGAGGAAAATGTGGTTGGGAAACAGGATGTTTAAATAATACTTAAGATAATATTCCACAGATTGTGACTTTTAACTGCAAAGGGAAATGAGTATTTACAATAGCCACATGACATAGTAAGAGGTATACAACACCACATATAGTAATTGTGTCCAAATTCTTAACCCGAATCTAATAGTGAAGAGTTATTAAATACAGAATATGGGACATATTATAGACAGAGTTTCCAGGTTTTTTTTTTTAGAGAGAGTTTTTTTTTTTTTTTTCTATAGGGTATGTAAGCTTGCTAAAGAGACAGAGAGACAGAGAGATGGAAAGTGAGAAATCACCCCTGGGGGATGACCACGCCACAGTTGCTTCTCCTCCATTCTCTTTTCTGGATTTTGGGCACACACATGTGCCTAGCATGAGGTTTTAGTCGCCAGAGTCCAGGACTGGAACTGTGATCCGCTATGTGGGAGTCCAGTGATGTAACCATTATGCCATCTGCTGGTACTATTTCCTGGGCTTTTTAATGTAATGGAAAAACAAAAACAAAAACAAAAACAAACAAACAAACAAACAAAACCAGAAGGGGGGGCGTGTTTCTAGAAGAGATGAAAAACATTGAAGATATAACCGAGTGCATTGTATGGACTTTGGTTTAATCTTAGAATGAAAAATATAAGAAAAATAATGTTGGACAATCAGGGAAATATAAATATGGAAATATGAAATGAAATAAATCTTTTGACTATATTGAGAAATATCATGTTAGCAGGTGTGCGGTGATGTATTTAAGGGTAAAGTTCTTGTGATGTCTGTAACTTACTTTCTTCTCTCTTTTTTCTTTCTCCATCTTTTTATTTATTTATTTAGGTTTTTGCCATAGGGTATGTATGCTTGCTGGAGAGACAGAGAGAGAGCAAAGGTAAGAAATCATCCCCCAGGGAGATGGCCATACCACAGTCTTCTCCATTCTCCTCTTGGGATTTTGGGCATGCACGCACATGTGCCTGGTGTGAGTTTCAAGAAGCCAGGTCTAGGACTTGAACCGAGGTTGGCCATGTGAGAGTCCAGCACGTTAACCACCAGGCAACCTGCTAGTCCCCTATAATTTACTTTCAAATGGTTCAGCAAAAAAGTGTGTGTGTGTGTGTAAGAATATATATGTATATAAAAGAATATAAGATTAGCCCATAAATAGAAAGAGAAAAGGAAAGAAGGGAGGAAGGAAATCAGTGCAAGTGTGGCCAAATGTTAACATTTTGATGAATCTATGGGGTTGTTGGGAAAGTCATGACGTGTTTTTGCATAGAAACTCATAGCCAAATATGTCATGCCTTTCCCAACCACCTAATAAATGGTGTTTATTCTTCTCTTTCCTGTAGCTTTCTAAATAAGAAATTAAATGGAAAAGCCCTCGCAAGATGGGAAACAACAGAAACGCAAACAAATGAGCTGCAAAGGAGTACTGACACCAACAGGAGTCCTCCATCCCTTCCTCCGGCAGCGTCACGGGAGGCTCGGACTGCAGTGCGGATGTTTGTATGGGGAGACCATTCCTAACGTATAAAATTCGCAGCAATTATCACCACCAAGTTAAAGGACCTACTGCACAGCAAGTCCTGTTTATGACTCAGCGTTATCCTCCTCTCTCTCTGTGGCCTCTATCTGAATGACTTTGCCCTAAAGTCACGGTAAATACACCCTGTCTACAAGGACACATAGACAACAGACTTAGAAATCCGGAGATTTATGGGTGCCCGATCTTATTGCGGTACCTCGTGAATATCAGATTTGATCTGAGAGATCACGCGTGAGCTGCAGACGAGCCCTGACTTCGTGACTGGCGTGCCACTGGCAAGCCTCGCCTGATTAGCATCTTTGTGCTCAGATACGAGTGACGGCTCGAGGACGACATTTCTGAATTGTTCACTTTGCCGGGATTGTATCTGAAAACAGCAGCAATTGTTCGTCCTGTTCCCAGGCTCCAAGGAAATAATTGGCCTGCTCATGATCTTTTCAGGACCTAGAAGAAGGTATCCTATTAAGACTGTGGGCAAATGAGGTCGTCACTAGTTCTCTGTGACTTTGTCGCGTCTTTCTACGACGTGTTATTATGCTGCTCTTTGGCAAATCTTTTTCCTTTTCTGTAGCATTTGTAAAATGACAACTTATTTTTATTTTTCCTCTGCTAAAAGACTCTGTATTAAAAGGGAGTATCAGCCAATGTAGCATTAGAAACTCAGAGGAAAACACATATTTGTCAGAGAATTCTCCGGCCTCACCTACCTCATCCCTGGCCCCTGGGAGATGTGACTATTACCATCATAGCCTGTGTTTGTTGACATTTATAACTTAGGAATTTTTGTACTTTCTTGTTTTTTAAACATTTCCTGGATTTATGTATGTATTTTACAATAATTTCTCCATGGTAGAGAACAGAGCTTGCTCTACTTAGAAATGAAAAGCCATATGCCAGCTAATGTACTCAGTGAATTTAAGCAATAGGAGTTTTGGGATAAAAGTAACTTCCTTATAAATGATTATTTGTCACTGAAAACTGGAACATTTCTGTTAAACGCATACTCTACAAATGAAACGACCCTGTTATTTCAGTATTATGAGTGTTTCCAGCTATTTTATAAAAGAACCGAAAATCAAGATTCAGAGAACACAGTCGATCCTGACTCTCTTAACTGTGATGTAGCTTTTGAATAACTTCTGGGCTTCTTTGAACCAAGGTTTTACAGATATAGTTTGTTATCTGTTGTTGAGGCTGTGTATAGTGTTCTCAACTGGACTGAGGTGTCTATCATGCTGGGTAAAGTCTCTTTACAATCTAAATGATGTATAGCAATTGAATGTATAAATAATAATAATAAAAATAAATTAGGAAAAATATATGGATACAGTAATTCCCACAGCACAAGGTTTTTTTTTTTTTTTTGGAGAGGTTTTTGCTATAGGGCGCGTGCGCTCACCAGACAGACAGAGAGAGACAGAGAGATAGAAAGTGAGAAATCACCCCCCAGAGGGGATGGCCACACCACAATCCCTTCTCCTCCATTTTCCTCTTGGGATTTTGGGCATGTACGCACACACGCCTGGCGTGAGTTTAAGTCACCGGGTCCGGGACTTGAACTGCGGTCGACTATGTGGGAGTCCAGCGACATAGCCATTACGCTAACTGCTGGTGCCAGCACAAGGATATTTTAAGGACTCACTTATGATGGCATCTATCAATGGGCCCAGAAGTATTTTTTAAAATAATTATTGATATTTATTTTTATTTATTTATTAATTATTATTATTAAATTTTTTATAAGGCATGTGTGTCAAGAGAGAGAGAGAGAGAGAGAGAGAGAGAGAGGAGAAAGCCACTAGTTGCAGAACCCAAACCGTGGTCGGCCATGTGGGAGTCAAGCATCTTAACTGCTGTGCCACCTGCTGGCCCCAGAGCTCAGAATTATTAATTGTTCAGTACATGGCTGTATTTCAATCTGTTAAGGCTTAGTAACACCCAAATTACTATGGAAAGAGATGCACGCCTTGATGATTGGTAGCTAAGTAGTAGCTTTTCCTGACCTAGCAGGAAGTCTAGAGGTAGGTACAGTTCTTCTAGGTCCAGGGGCTCAACAATCGCAGGGCTGAGAGGCATCTCTGTGATTGCTTGGCCTGACCTTGGTAGTCTCTCATCACTGAATTTAGGGTCCTGGGAGAAGAGGAAGGCAAGAACAGTGACTTGTGTCAGTCCCTTTGATCAAAAAAATAGATTTTCCAGGAGCCTAGACTTCCATTTATGCTTCTTTGTTTTAATTTTTTTGAGAGAGATTTTTGCTATAGGGTGCGTGTGCGCACCAGAGAGACAGAAAGCAAGAAGTCACCCCTCCCCCGCCCGGGGTAACGGTCATGTCGCAATCCCTTCTCCTCCACTCTCCCCTTGGGATTTTGGGCATGTATGCACAGGTACCTGCTATGAGTTTTAAGCCGCCAGGTCCAGGACTTGAACCATAGTGGGAGTTCAGTGAAGGAACCCCCACACCATCTGCTGCTTCCTTGTTTATGCTTCTTTAAGCAGAACAGTGTTACCAGAATAGCTTGGCCTTGCTACCATGGAAGCTGGTAGGAAGTGTTTTACTTTGCCCAGTCTCTGTCATGGAGTCGGGCAAGGGAGGTGAGGGCTAGAGATACAACTGGTGTCGACTATAAAACGGTGCCCCCGCAAAGTTATTTGAGCAGTCAGGGAGGCAGGATCAGCATGGCCTTTAGATGGCTTGATCAGCTTCGCAAGGTTCCTCTTGGTGATCTTGAATAGTCTATTTTGTGAAGAGATAAACATTCCCAAAACTGTCAGGGGATAATACTGGAGTTTCATATGGCTTATGTGATCTTGACCAAAATCTTCATAATGGTTGCTTTAAGGGGTGATGTGAGTTTTCATTGGTAGTTTTTTTTTTTTTGGAGAGGTTTTCGCTATAGGGTGCGTGCGCTCACCAGACAGACAGAGAGAGACATAGAGACAGAAAATGAGAAATCACCCCCCAGGGGGAATGGTCACGCCGCAATCCCCTTCTCCTCCATTCTCCTCTCGGGATCTTGGGCACGCACGCACACGCGGCTGGTGTGAGTTTTAAGCCACCGGGTCCGGGATGCGAACCGTGGTTGACTATGTGGGAGTCCAGTGACATAGCCATTACGCTAAGTGCTGGTTCCCTTCATTGGTAGTTTTGATGATTGAACACATTTTGTTCTAAAGGTATGATTTGAATCATGTTTTAGTGAGGTTAGTTTTAGTTGATTTAAGAGAGTACTTTTTTTAGCTTATTTTATTGGGTTGAGATTTTTCTTTGAAGAATAAAATGTTTGAAACACATTAATTAAATTGGTTGTAAAAGGTATTTGAAATAAAAGTCCTGATTATTTTACTTTTTTGGGGGGGGAGGGGGTGTTATCTATTTATTTATTTGCCATAGGGCACATGCAGTTTCTGGAGAGAGACAGAGAGGGAGACAGCAAGAGGGAAAGTGAGAAATCAACCCCCCTCCCCCCCTGGGGGCAAGGTATGGTCATGCTTCAATCCATTCTCCTCCCGCATCCTTTCAGGATTTTGGACACACACACACACACACACACATGTGCCCTGTGTGATCGTCAAGTCACTAGGTCCAGGACTTGATCTGCAGTCACCCATGTGAGAGTCCAGCTCCTTAACCGCCATGCCATCTGTTGGCCCCAATTATTTTACACATCTTTTGGAACAACAGCTGTCAGTCTTTTGGAATAACATCTATCCATAAGCCATAAAGTTACAGGTTTTACATCTTTTGAAAGAGGTATAGGTCACCACTAAGCGTTCTGGTGAAGGACTAGCTGGCTCTGTACATGAGTATCCACTCGGGGCTGGGCTGCCAGGGGAAATGTAAGATGCTCAATCAAATGTGAGTTTCAGCCAATGCACTGACGATTGTGCCATTGGGTCGTCGGGAAAGTCATAACGCATTTTTGCGTAGAAAAACAGAAAAGATACGTCCTGACTTTTCCAGCAATCCAATTTTCATTGTTTATTTGGGATTAAAATTTAAGTGGCAACGCTGCGTATTTATTCCTTGACTTGGCGACCCTGTCTCACGCAAATCTTTAGAGCTGCTCATGTCAGTGGAGCTTCGCTACATCCTCCTGAGTCCAAAGCGGAACAAACTCCCGTGCATAGTCGTTTCTCCACTTTTCTCCAAATCAAATTGCTCTTCCTCTGTGGATTCAAGGACTACAAAAAAATAAAAAATAAAAAAATAACACCTTGGGTGAATACAGTGCCTTTAATGGCTAATGAGCAATTTTTCTATGATCAGTTTGATATTTGTGAACTGGCTGACTGGGAAAATGACCTAGAGGGAA